TTTTTGTGTCTTAAAATCTCATTCATGGTGTGAAAATGATAATTAGCGTGTCAATGATTTTTTACATGTGTGCATAAATATATATAGAGAGAAAAAAAGAGAAGAGAAGGCAGATATATAAGTTTTCAATTTACTCCTAATAATTATTGCTATATTTCATGTATGTATATACATGTTACTGGAAAAGTGGGAAATTCGGCATTGTTAGCAATGTCTAGGCATTGCCCACAAGCGTTTTTAGGCAACGTAGGAAGAATTGTTACGGATTTATTGGGTAACAGAACGCAACACACACATACAAGCGAGTATGGAGCGGATTTTTGTGCGCGGGTTTTTGAGACTGTGCGTGCCGCTATACTATGCGCTATACTATACTATGTTGTGTGTGTGTGTCTGTGCCTGATAGGATAACAATTTTTCTGTTTTCTTCGTTGCCTAACAATGCTGTTCCCATTTTGCCGGTAATATATACATACAGTGAGTAAAAAAAATATTCGTACCGGTCAATTTAAAGAAAAACTTTGAAGAACTTTATTTATTACAAAAAAATGTTAACAAAAAATATATATACATATTCTTAGAAATCTCTAAAATTAATTTTATTAAAAAATAATGTTTTATTTATATTTGTTATGAAAGTATTAAGAAATTTTCAGAAATTAACAGAAAATATATGCATAATAAATATTCGTACAGTCCTTGATTTGTGACATTGTGCATAGGATAAATACAAGATCATCTTATATCAATATAATTAGGGTTAGTATATCTGGAGACGTTGTCAATACAGATAGTGTTCTAAATTCATAGAGAGTCAACAGTGATAACTGTAAAATGGAACGAAAAGGCAAGGAAACTGCTGAAGAAGAAAAAAATTATTATAAATTTACAAAATTATTTAAAAAACACTAAGTAAAAATTCAAAAATTATAAATAGACCACTGTCGACGATTCAAGGAATCATTGATAGATATAGAAACCGATAAACTTTACAAAATAATCCACGAAAGGGATGTAAACGCAAAATAAATAAGTACACTGGCCGATAGATAATTTGAAGAATAAGACAAAATCCAAAGATGAATGCAGTAAAAAATTTTTTGCATTTTTTAATAACATTATATATAGTTTTAGAGATTTCTAAGAATATATATACGTATTTTTTGTTAACATTTTTTTGTAATAAACGAAGTTCTTCAAAGTTTTTCTTCAAATTGACTGCTGTATGAATAATTTTTTCACTCACTGTATACATTTACATTAGTATGTCATACAACTAAACATTTAAACTTAAAAAGCTTTTGGATATTAAATAACACATATATTGGTTATTATATTATATAGGATCCATTTTTTGGTGTATCCAGTCAAAGAAATATATACCCTCTACTAATATAAGATTAATCGTGAGTAATATGTACAGTAATTGTAAATATCTGAAATAACTTTGTTTAACGAATGTATGGATATAATAATATACAGGGTTTTTCGAAAGAGATAGCTACTACTTCTCTCTGATTCTCACCATAAAATATTATTACCAAAAATGACAATTTACATAGATATTAATCTTTCCTTAATTTTTTTCTTGGACGTTAATTATAGACTATAATGTTGATCATTCTTAATTACAAGGGCTCTATCAGACCTTTAAAAGAACAAATTTTGTAAAACTCTACACAATTGTATGTGTTCATTAGTAGCATAATTTTTTCTATAATTTCATTTTCTTTTGAATTAAACTGTAAAACATTTAATTTTCCATCTAAAATGAACTGGTATATAAAAATGCATGTGAAACTTCTCCCTTCGTTTTCTTTGTGTGGTCCTAAGAAATTCCTATAACTGTGTAGAATTTAAACAAACATCAGTATTTTTAAGGTTTAATGTAACCATTGTCAAATAATATTATTATTTTAATACAATTGTATATAGATTATTATTTTTATGCAATTATAATAGGCATTAATGATTTAGGACATCAATATTTTAACTAAATAACTAAATGTATAGACCGCGAGTTTTCTTTATTTTTAATTATTTATTATTTAAAAAAGTCTCACGAAGAAAAGAAGAAAATAATAAAAACGAAGCTAATGAGACTAATGAAAATATTTATTGGAGAATCGGAGAAAAAGTGGATACAAAAAAGAAGAGTAAAGGTGTATCGTTGCATTCATATAATTATATGGATTGTAAAACGTAAAACTCTGAATCGCATAAAAAATAAATATGTAGACATTTCAAAGAATTGGCCTATTAACGGGAAAATAATTAATATAAAAAATGTTTTCAATACGATCGAGTGAAAAAATAAAAAGAAAACTTAAAGAATAACTGATACGATCGAAAAAAACAATACATACATATATACATATATATATATGTATATACATAAATTATAATAAACAATAAAAATGTATCTTGCATAAACGAGATAATATTATTCTATAAAATCTCAAATGCTCAATAATCTTTAAAAATGTTTCGAAATAAAATAAAAAGAAATTCGAAGCACATTTTGTCACGAAAAGTTTAAGAAGTTGCTGTATCATTTAAGATGTGTAATAAATAGTTAGATTGTAAAAGTTAGACTTTAAGGTAATATATGTATTATTATTATTATTATTATTATTATATGAAACATTTCACTTGAGAGACAAGAGGTGCGAGCAACGTTATTTTTTACAGAGAATTTACAACGGATGATAACCGTGGAGTTACATATACTCAACAACGACGACGACGACACAACCCTGATGCAACACAAAAAGAAAAGAATTTGAAAACTTAAAGAAAAACATTTGTATCGACAAATAGATACAAATAGTATCAAATTTGTAAAATATTCCTAGTCACGAACAAAAACGTTAATTGATCAATGAAAAATAATGACCGAAAAGTTTGACGATATCTTTTAATATTGACGAAGGAAAAGAAAAAACGATGACATAACTTGTTGAACGAAAACAATTGAAAAATTATCAGTTCATTACAAGATATCCAATTCTTTTCGCGTATCTTTTTTGGTAATAAGAAGAGAAAGTAAGAAAAGACTCGATATACAGGCAAGTGATTCACGAATCGTGATCAGTAGAGATTATTATGTTACTAGTAGTTCGATCGAAAATGTTTTTTATCAAAGATTGCATTGTTTCGAAAGAGTTTTAACGTGATTATAGCAACTTTTTTGTCAAGTGATTTTTTTTTCATGATTTTTCAAAGTCACATTAAATTTCTTGCAAATAAATCAATAATTTCTTTACGCCCACCAATTAGAGAATTTCAAGACAAATACGAGTAAGTACTATAACAAAATATATACTTCTTTTTTCTTTTCATCTGGGCTTCAACAAAAAATCGGTTCCGACCGAATCTTTTCTTGACCCAAATGAAAAATAAAGTAACATACATTATGTTATAGTATTTACCAAATTCGTCTTGAAATCCTTTAAGACTCGTTTCCTATACCTTCTCAATACCGGTATTTTTTATAAAGTTTTTACGCGGTCCACTTTTAAGTAAAAAAACATATATCATATTATTTAAAGTGTTAATTTTAATTTCTGATAAATGGGTTAATAAAAAAATAAAATTATTTATTTTTAAATAGACTGCATTAAAGTCAATAAATTAAACATTTCGATATTAATTGAAATAATTGTAATAATTTTAGTAGCAGAGTTTTTTTATTTAATTTTTTCTTAACAGCGGCATTTTTTCTACGGATCTCAATTTGGCAAACCCGGCTCTAACAAAAATTTTAAGTTTATTTGCAAAAAACAAAACTCCAAATGAACTTAAAAAATCATGAAAAACAAAGAATTGACAAAAAATTTGCTATAATCACATTAAAGCTTTATTCAAACCATGCTATACATGATTAAAGCATTTTCAATCGAATTTCTAATAACAGAACAATCTTTACTGATCACGATTCGTTGTTCGTCCTGTATATAATAATATTATAGCTATACTATATACATATAAACTATTTTATATTACTTTTTCAGAACAACGTCATAAAGTTCAGAGAAAGTATAGAAAATGATTATTATTCATTTTAATGCGTTAAAATAGCAATACTATCAAAGTTGCTGTATTCATATAGTATTGTAATTTACGTTGATAAAACCTACATTTCCTGTTGTTAAATTTATCTATAATAGTATTTATGGAAAAAAATACATTTAACATTAATATAATAACAATTGATAAACTTTAAAAAATAAGTATACACGATCGTAACCTTTTAGCTGCACCAAGTGCCATATATATAGTTAAATAGGTATAATAATAATTAATAATAATAATAATAATAATAATAATAATAATAATAATAATAATAATAATACGATTATAACAATCTCTACATATAAATAATAAATTGTGCCGAGAAGAAAGGACAAAAACCGTATTTTTTCGAATTTGCCTAATCGTAATCGATATTACTTTGGTAATCGTATCTCTTTCGTCATAAAACTGAAAAAATGCAAATATATAATAATAGACTTTTCTTAAGGAAAGAGAAGAAGAATGAGAAAGAAAACCGATTGAATCGTTATCGAAAAGAAAGATGCGACAATACAATAACAATAGGATTTATTTTTCCGCAAAATATAAACTTGATTATCTTCCTTGCTTTTTTATGTTAACACACGCACACACATATTTATATATTTTATCATATAACGAGTGTTGTACTTGAATACAAGACAAAATATTTCATTTGTTCTTGCTGAATAATAACTAAACAAAATATCTGGTCTAAATTATAATACAATAACATAAACGACATAAAATAAAATTTATTAATAAATAAAAAAGGGAAAAACTTGTCACAATTGTATATTATAAATGCTATTGTTTAAAAATATAATGCCATTGTCAATGTAAGATGAAGCGTCGATTTCTCTGCATGTAGCACCTTTATATAATTTACATATAATAATTTTAATATCAATTAAATATGTGTAATATTTTGAATGGGGTATTTAAAGGAAAAGAAAGGTGGGAATGACGACGAGGTAAAAGCAGGGGAAAGAGGAAGAGGAATCGATTATAAAGAAAGAAGTGGTAGTAGTCGAGCATTACCATTAGTCGGACCGTCGTTATCCACTGACGTTGCTCAACAGCAACCAGCAAGCTATTGCTTGGGATTAGAATTCTCAGAATTGGTGGTGGAAAATAGATCCATACAACCATTAACGAAAGATTATATGCTCGAGAAAAAGAGAGAGAGGAAGAGAATAACAAAATTTCTTAAAAAAATAAAGTACAATATTTTCTGCAATAGATGTCGTATAGTAATATTCGTGCCCTGTCCAGAACAAAAAGCGACAACAGAGGGACCAGAAGTCAGGACTTTTATTCAGTCGATTACTAGGATTTCGCATAGCGAAACGAGGGCAATTTTAGTCGAGTTTGATTCCCCAGGTAATACGAGACAACGGGACAGTATATATTTTTATTTTTAAACGCGGACGCGCACGAACACAAACACATAGATATCCATTATTGAAAAGATAATAGTCATTATTATTTTTATTATTATTATTATTGTACCATCGTCGCCGTAATTCGTTGTAATCGTTAAATGAGATAAATTTAAGAGACAAGAGAAAGGTCGAAAAGCAAGAAAAAGAAGATCTGAGAGAGTTCCTCTGACTAGCCGAAAATCGATCGACGGTGGCGGTGGTGGTAGTGGTGGTGGCGGCTCATCGACGTATCCGGGGTTAGCGACACCTGGAAAACGCGTGTGCATCGTGCAACTTTCCTTGAGATATTTCCCAGATTCGTGAGAATTCCTGAAGTTATCAGCAATTTTCTTCGGTAGTATTTAATTAATGTGTTAAGATACATAGATTCACGAGTAATATTGAATAAGTACTTTAAACGGATAATAAGTAAGAATACTTGTCATTATCATCGTTGTTGTCTTTATCATCGTCTTGTCGAACGGCCGACGAATACTCCTACACGATCAAACTTTAAAAGTAGTGAATTTTCGTCGCCGTGACATATTTTTCGTTATACTAAAACCGACGAATAGGAGAAGACTATATATGAGAGAAAAAAATAATACAGGTGTAAAGAAAGATAGATAGAAATTCATGAGCTAAAAATAGAAATATCGGAAAAACTTGTATTTATTTTAGTAGAAAGTAAATTTGAATAAGTTTGAAATGCGTCGAAGAATGACAGAAAGAAATAGGCCTCGTGTGGCCTCGACGTGAGTTAGAAACACGCGGATCCTACTAGGATCCTTTAAAAGAAAAAAGATAGAAGAACGAGAAAATCGGTCGGAAAAAATAACGAAGGTCCTTGGACTCCCTGGTTAGGGAGGAGGAGGTGGAGGAGGAGTAGAAGGAGGCGGAGGAGGTGGCGGAAAAGAAGGAGGGAAGGTTCCTCTCGACGTGGAATGACAATAAAGGGGTGCCGTACTAACGTCCGGCGTGTCCTCCTATTATGCACGCGCTGGATTTGAGTCTACGAAACACCCCGAAACTTTTATTCCCCATTGGTATGGCAGTTGGTACACTGACGGATATCGCTACGAGATTGCTGATCGCCGGTTACATACTCGCGGTCGTACTCGTGTGCGTTCACGCCAGTAGCAACTGGGACAAGGACGAAGATTTAGGTAAATAACACTATTTTTTATTTTCTTATTACGGTCACTTTAATTCTCTAACAATAAATTTAAAGAATGCCTTCAAACGTGTTATAAAAATTCTTTTACTTATGTAATATGATAAATCGTATATAACATCGTGTTATACCAAGTCACATAAGTTATAAAATTGTTTTATCATTATATTCTTCACTTTGAACGATGCAATTTTATTACTTATGAGACATATTACTGTATAGTCGATAACAATGAAGATATTTCAAATTAAATGGGACACCTGTATATCGTCCCTTTTACCAAATCTTTTTTTTATTATGTTATAAAAACACAAGTCACTATTTTCATCTCAAATGTTACATGAGCCCCTATTATATTAGAATTTATTGTATATTGTAATTATTTCAAACGATCGGTCGATGTTCAAAGTGTTGAAGAATATCAAAAGAACTGGCAAGTATAAACATATTATGACTGACCATAAAAGTGTTCTTCTACTTAATTCTATTAAATTGCTCCTTTTTTCTATTTAAAAACGTTATTTTTTTATTCAGTAAACGAGTAAAATTTGTTCTCATGCGTGTACCTTAACTATTCAATAAATATATAGTTCATTTTTTGATTTGATTCAATTTAATTTAATTTTTCTAGTTGCAACCTTCGAAGTGAGCGCCGTTCTTGGGCGTACCGCTAGCTTGCCTTGTGACATTGAACCGTCCACGCGAGAAGATCGCGTTTATATGGTGCTATGGTTCCGAGATTATGCAGTGAAGCCGATATACAGGTAGGTGCATAAATGGAAAATTGTAAAAAATCAATATATAAATTTATATTTGAAATTATTATTTATTTTTCTAGCTTTGATGTACGAGGGAGAGCTTTTAACAAAGCTCTTAATTGGTCAGATAGCAATGCGGTAGGGCCCAGAGCTTACTTTATGACAGGCACAAAACCAGCTGCTCTATCTTTAGAAGCTGTTCAGTTGGACGACGAAGGAATATACAGGTGTCGAGTAGATTTCAAAAAATCACCGACGAGAAACTTTCAAGTGAATTTAACAGTCATTGGTAAGGTGTAACTTTTTCTTTACCCCCATCCCATCTTCCTTTCTTTGTCTTTTTATTTACAAATATTCATATTAAATGAAAGAAAACACGTGTAATGATCGTGTATACACTTTTTTTGTGAAACAATGTTAAAGCATTTTCGTAAAAAGAAAATATGAAATAATTATTTATATGTATAAGGATGATAAAGTAGAATATTTTTCTTTACAGTTCCACCACATCAACTACTCATTTACGACAGTTCTGGAGTGGAAGTTGATAAAACTGCTGGTCCTTTCGAAGTTGGAATGGAATTTGGTCTCTCCTGTGAAGTAAGAGGAGGTACTACTGTTATTTTCTATCTTATATGAAATTATAATAATATATCTCTTTATAGACCAAATATAATCTATATTTTACAGGAAAACCAACTCCTGTTGTAAACTGGTTAGTAAATGAGAAGGAAATAGATGGAAGATTAGAAGAAATAGAACAAAATATCGTGGTTAGTAAATTGACTGTACCTCAATTACGAAGGGAGCATCGTAACACCGTGTACAAATGTCGAGCTGCCAATACAAATCTCATACCTCCTTTGGAAAAGAGTGTCCTTTTAGATATTTACTGTAAGTTTTTCAATATCTACAAATAATACTTAATCCATTCTTTCAACAAGTAGACCAAACTAATACGTTCATTTCCCTGCATATTGTACAGGGTATCTGAAGTTTTTTCGTATAACGCCAAAAATAAGACAAAAATGTTCTATACAAATAACACGAACTTTTTTAACAATCCAACGATAATTATATACTTTTTTCCTTCCCTTAGTAAAACCACTATCCGTAAAAATATTATCAAAACCATCAGTCCTAGAAACAAATAAGGATTATTCTATAGGCTGTGAAACTGCAGGATCACATCCCCGAGCACAAGTTACATGGTTAAAAGGAAACGTTCCCTTTCAAAACGCCAAGGTCAATATTTCATTATATATTAAAAATGTAGATAAATAATATGTAGAACTATATATATTATTTTTATAGTTATATTTATAATTATTTATTATTATTATATATATATATATATATAAATTTATTCAAATGTAAATTGAACAGGTATTAGATGATGGTAATTCTTCGGTAGTATTAAGTACGTTAATATTTAGTCCCATACCTGATGACAATTCTCAAATTCTCAAATGTCGAGGTGAAAATCCTGAATTGCTTGGTGCATATTTAGAAGATTTCTTCCAATTAAACGTTATCTGTAAGTTCATTTAAAAGAGTCTCATACATAGATTTTTTTAGACAATTAATATCAATGATAATGATTTACAGTTCCACCAAAAGTTCAACTACATCTGGGAAGTACATTAAAAGCAGAAAATATAAAAGAAGGCGATGACGTCTATTTCGAATGCAAAGTTCGAGCCAATCCTGAACATCATAAAATAACATGGAGATATAACGTAAAAAATGCAAATTTAATTGATTAACGAATATATTTGATAACGAATGTTTCCTTATTAGGGTGCGGTATTGACTCAAAATTATTCAGCTGGGATAATAATGAGTACACAAAGTCTCGTGCTTCAAAGTATAGGACGTGACAATGCGGGGAATTATACATGCCTTGCCAGTAACGATCGTGGAGAAACTACAAGCCCTGTTGTTCGTTTACGAATACAATGTGAGTGGACGAACATAATAATGAACATATAAAAGTTCTTTATTAATAATTAGTTTCGTATACGCGTAATATTTTCGGGCTCTTTACAGTCGCACCTGTTTGTAAAACAAGTCCAACAGTAATCGGAGCATCCTTAGAAGAATCAGTAAAGGTTCGATGCGAAGTTGACGCAGATCCTAATGAAGTAGATTTCATGTGGGAATTCAATAACAGCGGTGAAAATTTCGAAGTAGCTCCGGCAAAATTAGACAGTAACAATGGTACCACAAGCGAACTCATTTATACACCAGTTTCTGAAAGAGATTATGGAGCTTTAACGTGTTGGGGTAGAAATGCGATAGGAAAACAAGAAACACCATGCACGTATCACGTCATTCCTGCAGGTAATATTGATAATGATTTTATTCTAAAGATCGATTTAAATGAATATGATTATTGTTAATCATTGTTTTATAGCAAAGCCAAGTCCTTTAAACAATTGTACTATAAAAGCCTCATTGAATCAAAGTTCCGAGATATTAGAAGTCGAGTGTGTACCAGGATATAATGGTGGACTTCCTCAAGAATTTCGTTTAGAGGCTTATGAAGATGATTCTGATTACTTGCGTCTCAATGTGTCTAGTATATCCATAGACCTTCCAATTTTCCGAATAACAGTTGCAGATCTATTACCTGCGACGCACTTTTATTTAGTCGCGTATGCTGTCAATGCCAAGGGTCGAAGCGAAGTGTTTTTATTGGAAGGTATTACATTAAGAGATTCAGAAAAGCATACAGGTATATAAAAGTATACAGGAATAGAGAATAAATTTTTGCAGTTGTAAAATCTTCCTATCGGAAATAATGTATTCTCGGTGAAAATAAATTTATTTGACTGATAAATTATTTTTCAGATAGTGGAATTAATATGATTCCATTAATTATATTACTTATCGGATTTTTAATGGTTTTTCTAATGGCAGTACTTTTCGTAATGGTTATGGTGTATCGACGTCGAGGTAGTACATCACCTGCCCACATCGAACCGTACATGAAACAACCAATGATAACTCCCCCAGACTCGAGAAATAACTCGATGCTTGACGTTACTCATGGGGACCATACTTACTTCGTCGAATACACATTGAAACAAGTCACTGATTATGCACTTAATAAACAACCTGATATTATACAATCACCTCAAGGTAAAATCATTGTAAAAGACATTTAATTGTAAGATAATATATAAAAGATAAGTTTCTTTCTTTTTATACAGATCAAGAAAAAATTAAACGAGAGCCACAATTATTTTTACCAGTAAGACCAGACACATTATTTGCGCCATACGATATCCACAAACAAGGCCTTCAAACAAACAGATGTAATGTAAGTACAATAATATTAGCAAAATTGATAAAATTTAATAAAATTTGTTTCAATTAAGTTTACAACTTATACTGCACAGATATGAGGAGTTTGAAAGAATTAATCACTTTAAAAAGCTTCTTCGTTAGCTATTCAATTTAATTAGTATTGCCGATCGTTAATTACATTGAGCTTTGCAAATATTTTTATTATAGCTAAATCCATTTTCCACAAGACCGTGGGAACCGATCAGTTTTAAAACAGATCGCAACTTGATGAAAGAAATTATTATCGCAAATTCTATACCTGGTCCAGAAAGTTGCGTGTAAAATCTTTCGAATAGACGAGACAAACATATCAAGATGGCCAATTTCATAATCTACAAAATCATTCGAACACTTTGACGATGAAGAGTCACATGTCATCGAATCGCGAGAGAGATATCTTCTAATAAAATCAATTACCAAACGATTTGTGGATATTAACGTAATTAAAAGAGTACATCCAAATGACTAATCGCATAATTTAACTAAACGCTACACGTGATGTATTATTCCAAGTCTAATATATTTTGTGTCAAGTCTTGCAGTCTTTTATTATTTAAATATTATTCATTAATCTTTTGAATTTTTTTAAACATTATCTGTAATGTATAACGAATATCTTCTTAACTCTCATTTCAAAAAATTAATTTTATAAAATTCATAATAATAATATCTTTTATAAACATTTTTTGATAATACAATTTATACAATATGATTTTTATTATATTACAAGAAAAAGACAAAGTGACGTAATAATATTCAATTAAAAAGATGTAAAAGGTTGGTATCGTCATTAAAACAATATAATCTTTATATCGAGATTAAAATATACCAAAAAAATTATAAATAAAAAAAAAAAATAATAAAAAATTATACGATGAAACATACACATACAAAGAACAAGATAATAGATCTGAGAGTTTTTGAATGTTTTATAAAACGCATATGTGATAATATAAATTAGACTTGTCTCTGAAGGTATGCTGCGATGTTGACACCAATTTGGCATAAACATATCTATTCCATTATCAAATTCATTACGTTCAAAATATTGTACGTTTAGTATGAAATAATCTAAATAATGTTAAATAGAATCGATTATTGCCGCAAAGAAATCCTTTAAGAAAGCAGCCGCAGATAAAAAGCAACAACAAGGCGCCAATAAATAATGTTGCCAGAATAAATCTGCTACATAAACGCGAGTAAATGTATTCCATCCAGGTTTGAGATGACATTATCAATGATTGAGAAACCTTACGAAATAAGGATACTGGCAGTTTTCCTGTTCGATTGATTTCTTCGTTAAACGATTGACCTTCCATTTTATAACAAGTAATTTTTTCACACATGTTATATGCAACTGGTAAAATCTGTTGAGTATACAATAAATGGCACTTGATTCGTAAGTAGTATTAATATATTACTCTTGTATATAACATAATAATATTATATTATATTTATCATCGGTATGAATGAATGTAATTATCTTATAACATTTATATTAATATTAGCTCGAAGCATCGATCGAATACCCTTTTTCATTTTCTTTCTTTTCTTTTTATATTGAAATTAATCTCAAAGGTTATAAAAGAGTATAAATTAGAAATTATTTCAAATATTAATCCTTTTTTATTTTGGTTATATATGTATATTACAGATAAAAAACAAATCGTACTTGCGTATCCTTAAACTTATGTATTTGTCTTCGTACCAATTGTATTACTTTACATTTTTTATGTTGCAAATTCGTGATAAATTCATCGAAAGTATCATTTTCATATTGAAAAATTTCAGTTTCTAAACAATCATCGCACACGTTATCGTCGCACATCATTCACTCTGCTCTCGAATCTAATCTATTTCTGTAATTAAAAATAATATATTGGAGTGATACATTTCTATGAGTGATCTATCAAAAACGTAAATACATACTTTTTTATATTATAAATTAATTCCTACGCATGCGTGCAATTATTTAATAATGAAATAATATTGCCATAGTGCCATATGAAATTAAACGTTAAATAAATTCGTTGCGCGAGGGCCCTTTCGTGGTATAATATTTAGTTCTCACCTCTCTTAATATTACGACAAACTTAAAATAAAGACTGAAAATATTTTTTACATATTTTCACCAAAATTATATAACAACAAATTTGTAATATCAATCAATGAAAAACATTAGAATCACCTACATCTAAATATTTATATATACACAGGGTGTCCCAGTTTTTTTCCTGTCGAACGTTACCAACGTTTGAATAAAACATTTAAAAGCCTATGTTTATATGATATTTTTGTCTTATATTTGCATGTAGCACATGTTGATAATGTTCGGTGGGAAAAAACTGGGACACCTCGTATATATTAATGCCATGTAAATGTAAACCTCCTTTATATACATATATGTATGTGTATATATTATTTATTTTATTATTTTATTTAGTCATACATATATTATATACATATTCGTATGGCAATTATATCTAAAAAATTATTATTCTCGTATAAAAAAAACAATTCCACTTACTTAGCATTCGTATATCGCATTATGATGCAGATATCTTTGATAGATTTGTACGAATTGTCCTCTTTAATTTGCTCTAGGTTTTTTTTCTGGCGGTGGTTTCATATCTTTCTTTTCAACTTTCACTTCTTGTTTAATATCAGTAGCTGTAAAATAGTAAATAATATGCAACTATGAATTTTGTTTGCGTATTATTATTACTAGTCTCTGTAATTATTATTACTAGTCTCTGTTGCTTGATGAGCTGGTTTGGGTACAGGTAAAGGAAATTTGCGTGTAAGTTCTCCGAGTAACATGTCTACTCTTTGACGCTGAAACAAGGAACTTGGTTCTTCGCGTACTGGTGTTTCTTTCTTAGCAGTAATGGATTTTCCATTTTTAAAATCCCAATTATACCCTTTACTAGGATGGTAACGAGAACATGAACTAGCTTCTTCAAACGCAGATTGTAAATGATGAACTGTGGAAAGCTGTATCAACGTTATCACACTCTCTATATATTAAATAAAAGAATCTTTTTCTTCTTGAAAGGGAAAAATATATTCTTATATTTATCTACCAATGCTTACCAATTTCGAACTAACAATAGATGCCAAGTCTGGCGCTTGATAAACAACACCTGCGATTATATAATAATCAGTAAGCGGCGCAGCCAAAGTAGGGGAATGACGATGTTGTTTTCTAATTACATATAAAATAGGTTCTTGAACGTGTAAAAGAATATATTCCAAGCCTGTCATATTCCTAAAAAAATCATCGTCAATTATTTATTTCGTATTATTTACTTTGAAAGTGTTATTGTTATACATGCTATTTAACCCTCCATCGGCATCATGGGTCTTGCCATATTTAACTCAGTTGCATCCAAGCGCGCATATATCCGCGAGCCGTGACTGTCTGCTATCATCAAACGCGAAATAATCCGTGAGCATTTGAGCAGTAATACGGGTCAGTCGTCAGTTGAACGTCGTTGATGTTTGAACAAAGAAACTTAAAGTAGTGTCATGATGCAAATGGTTAACACGTTGACTGACGCGCGCATTTCACGTAATTTATCCATGGCGACTACATGAATTTTTTATTATGGGATGTATATTTTGTAACAATTTTTTTTACAGCAAATAATATAATTATGTTTAATGCATTATTTGTGGTGAGAGGAGGGTGTCACCAGTGACTTCCGAGGCACTGTAGAACATTTTTGTAATTATCAGTTGTTTCAAACTGTCCCAAAATGATATTAAATTAGAATTTTTAAAAATCTATATTTGATTTATTTGACCAAATGACTGCTTATAGTTCACTACTGCGAAAAACTAAAAAATGTTACTGGAAATTGGCAATAGAGCTTTTACTGATTACTTGTGTTGTAAATTAAATGATGTTATACAAACAAGTAACTCGAAAAATATTTTAATTCCCAATTTCAGGATAAAGTTAGCGATGTATTTAGTGAAATGTTCTAATGATGAAGATTGTATTTTATCAAGCAATTACGTACAAAAAAACGTCGTTACATGTCATGCATATTTTCCTTGTATAAAGAAAATAATTGTTGCATGTTCTGTATGTCATTATTTTCTTCACAAACCTTTATAAAAACAATGGTATTATTTAAAAATTTATCGATATCGATATTTACTCTAATTATGTATTTTTACTATTGGTCGCATCTCCGGTTACTGGTGACCTATACAGCGCTGTAGCGAAGTCTAGTTGAAGTCATCGGTGACTTACACCATACTTAACGTGTTAAATAAATATCTTTATCTTTAAATTAAAAATATAAATAACAATATAAACTATTAGACAATATTCTAGAAGCCCCAAATAAAATTGAAAAATCCTACCTCCATAGCGTTAATAAAATCCACCATGCCAACAAAGAACTAAATTGAATTATTTATCTAATTTCAAGGATATTCTTACGTTAATTGATCGGGATTTAGACGTTGCATTTTAACTATTTCATTATTACATGTCCTGTCATAAAAAGGATTACTTCTTTCAGAAAAATAATCCATTATATTACTTGGATTAAGTACAGGAATCCACGCACTGTCGTGCCAAGAAAATCCCAAAGGGTTTTCTGTAAAATAAATATTTATTCAAATGGGATTTATATTATTACATATTTTATATATTACACGGTCCTTTATATATATTTTATTCTAGCAAATAAAAAACTATCTTAATACAAAGTATCAAACAGTATAGATTTATAAATTATAACCTACAAAATTAGGACAATTTAAAGGAAACAATATATTAACGATAAAAAGAAAAATTCATATATTTATCAAAATATTAACCTGTTACTGCAGACCTTCCAGACATCATATTTAATAGTTCATCAAGAAATAATTTAATTACGTTTTAGTTTCAATCACTTCGATTATGATCATAATCACACGTGCAAATTGACTGAAACGCCGCCAACCTTCTTTCCAGTTGCTGCGGTATCTTTCATGCATGGGAAAAATCTTTAACGTTTGTTGTTCTTAGCGTTTAATTTTTTACACGGATCTACGTAAATATTAATTAAAATCAAATATTTTATTTCAACATATTAATCCTGCAAAAAGGTGCATATTTATGCATAATTAGATATGTTTTTTTTTTTAAATCATAATTGAAATATTTTTTTTTTGATAGTAATTTAAATTATAATATTTATGAGTAAATTTTAAAAATCATCTGATAATCAAACAAATTTGGTTTCAGTAATGTATACACGATTTTAACTTCAATTCAATATTTCATAAATGCATTAATGAATATAATAGAAATAATGTGAGATAATATTAAAAATAGTTAATAATAAAAATAATAATTGTAATCATTTTTTTGTAGATGGATTTACCTACCCTAATTGTATTTGATTTTGATCATACGATTGTTGACGACAATACCGATTTAATTGTTCGTAATTTATTACCAGATGATCAGTTAACCGACGAGGTACAAAACTTATACCTTCAAAATGGATGGACACTATATATGAACAAAATCTTTGAATTGCTTCATAAAAATTCAATTGGGTTAAAAGAAATAGAAGCAGCTATAATCGACATACCACCTTCTCCTGGATTTGATGCTCTTATAAAGGAATTACATATCCGAGGATATGAAATCATTATTATCAGTGATTCGAATTCATTATTAATAGATATATGGTTAAAAAGTAGACAATTAGACAATTTAATTAGTAAAGTATTTACCAACCCTGCACACGTTTCTGACGATGGTATGATCAAAATAAACATGTATCATGTTCAAGATTTTTGTAAACTAAGTATGATCAATTTATGTAAAGGTCATATATTAGAAAATTACATTAAGGAAAGATTAGAGGAAAAAATTCATTTTAAGAGAATCGCATACGTCGGAGATGGAAAAAACGATCTCTGTCCAGTATTACGTTTGTCTGAAAATGATTTAGCATTTCCTAGAATAGATTATCCACTTTTGAAAAAATTGAAAAAATATCAAACAAAGGACATTATACAAACCGTAAAAGCAACAATCATTCCTTGGTCTAATGGGCATGAAATCTTACGTTATTTAAACAATTAAATGCAAACATTCAAATATATTATAATTAAAACTTAAATCTTATATCATTAACTTTTAAATCCTTTTTGTCTTATAATCCTCTCATAGTAAATTATCAAGTTGGAATAAATTTAACTTATTTACTTATTTTAATTTCTAGCTTTATTTTATCATTATGTATTTCATTGTTGATGTATTTAAAATTTAAAAAATGCAAATTATGCATTAAATTAAAGTTAAAAGATATTATAAAATAAAGTTAAAATTAAACACACACAGAAGACCAAAAAAATTGATTTTTAAACCGTCCAACTTGTGACGTTTCTGATAGGCTATTTGTATCCACCAATAGGATAACGAGACTGATTGGACTGTAGTTGTACTTCTAGAGATGGCATATTATATGAAGAAAAGTAGAATCTTGGTTACTTGGTAGTTGTGCGAGAAGGAACTTAATCTTTAATCGAAATATTTTTTCAATCGTCCGTCATGGGTTTTGGCGATTATCCCGCTGAATATGATAGAGCAAAGCATGGTCCTTACGATCCAGCTCGTTACTATGGAAAACGTATATTTTATTTTTTATATTATCTATTCGTATATATATATATCTTATTAATCTTTAATGACATTTTTATAGCTGATACTCCTTTTGGTGACGTGAAACTAGGTGAACTTACAGCTTGGCTTCGTAGGAGAAATTTTCATCCTGTGGCTATGACATCAGCGGTTTCTCGCGGTAAATCTTTTTCCTTTTATTAGATAATCTCGATTGTTATTTTGATTATATAACTTGATGTTTATCATATAGATGCATATGTAATAAAAGTAAGGTTTCTTTCTTTACAGCATACTGGCGTTGGCAACATAAATATGTATTTCCTGAACGTGCTGGTATAGCTTCGTTTTTTCAAATGGCAGTAGGATTATCAGCACTTTTCTATGTCTTAAATTACCAGAGAATTAGTAAGTTAATGATACATGGCTTTTGAAGAAAATCAATTAATATGTACCATTTAATTTAACTTTGTTCCTTTTTTTCAGAACATCACAAAAATTACAAGTACCACTAAATTCTATCGATAATCTAATCGGTAGAATTATGTCAGATAGGAGTAGAGTAATTATATATTTATCTGCCTGCATAAGAAACTCTGAATCTAGAATGTATATTAAACAAAAATAAAATTTCTTTAAATATTTTCCATTAGTTTCAATGGTAATCTCTTATCAAATAATATAAGTACAATGTGAAGTTATGCAAGATATTTTAGTTTGTATTTGGGTTATGTAGTCAGAATGAAAGTGAGGTTGTAAAATATACAGGTCGTTCGTTTTATGAAACTAACCGTTATTTCTGATTGGTCGATGAACACGCGTTATGCGAAGGAAGGCCGATACGCATATGTTCAATGTCTGCCATTTCTGTCTCCCTCTACTGGCGTTATTTTGTAACAAAAATAAAAAATGATTCAGAGAGAGTAATCTATATCGTTTATAACTTCGTTGCAGTTAATAATGTGCAATGACGTGTCTTGCTGCTTGTAACTTGACAAATTTATTGATATCTGTGGAATTATTGTAATTATATTATAATTAACAAAATGTTAACTAAATTTGAAACAAAATCGGCTCGTGTTAAGGGTTTATCTTTTCATCCAAAACGTCCGTGGGTCCTTGCTAGGTAATTATTTCTTTTTATTAATCATGTATCTGGAGATAACTGTCAATTGTTTTAGATGTATTAAAATACACTTATGTATATTATATTGTAGTTTACACAATGGCGTTATACAATTATGGGATTATCGCATGTGTACTCTCTTAGACAAATTCGACGAACACGATGGTCCTGTAAGAGGAATATGTTTCCATAATCAACAACCTTTGTTTGTATCTGGTGGCGATGATTATAAAATCAAAGTATGGAATTATAAGCAACGTAGGTGTATTTTTACATTATTAGGCCATCTGGATTATATTAGGTCAACAGTGTTTCATCAAGAATATCCATGGATCCTGAGTGCTTCGGATGACCAGACCATACGTATCTGGAATTGGCAAAGCCGTACTTGTATTTGCGTTTTAACCGGTCATAATCACTATGTAATGTGTGCTCAATTTCATCCAACTGAAGATATTATTGTATCTGCCTCGTTGGATCAATCTGTTAGAGTTTGGGACATATCTGGGCTACGTAAAAAAAATGTAGCACCTGGGCCAGGTGGTTTAGAAGATCACTTGAAGAATCCTGGAGCTACGGATCTGTTTGGGCAAGCTGATGCCCAAGTCAAGCATGTTTTAGAAGGTCATGACAGAGGCGTTAACTGGGCTTGTTTCCATCCGAGGTTACCATTAATTGTTTCTGGAGCTGATGATCGTCAAATTAAGATGTGGCGTATGAATGATGCTAAGGCTTGGGAGGTAGATGCTTGTCGGGGACACTATAATAACGTTTCCTGCGTTCTATTTCATCCTAGACAAGACTTAATTTTATCTAATTCGGAAGATAAAAGCATAAGAGTATGGGATATGACTAAACGCACGTGCTTGCACACGTTTAGAAGAGAACATGAAAGATTTTGGGTACTTGCTGCACATCCTACTTTAAATTTGTTTGCAGCTGGTCATGACTCTGGTATGATAATCTTCAAATTGGAGAGGGAAAGACCGGCTTATGCATTTTATGGAAATCTACTTTATTATGTAAAGGAACGTTTCCTTCGTAAATTAGATTTTACTACTTCCAAAGATACTTCGGTGATGCAAATTCGTGGTGGAGGAAAGACGCCTCCGTACAGTATGTCGTTTAATCAAGCAGAAAATGCTGTTCTTGTATGTACAAGATCACCCTCAAATATTGAAAACAGTACTTATGATCTTTATGTGATACCGCGCGAAGGTGATTCCAGTACAGATGCTGATACCAAACGTGCTTCCGGTGTTACTGCCATTTGGGTTGCTAGGAATCGTTTTGCAGTTTTAGATAGAGCGTACTCAGTAGGGCAATATTTTAATTATTAATAATAACCTATCTCTTTTTTCCGAATCAAGCAACAATAAGCTTTTTTTTTCAGTTGGTCATAAAGAATTTAAAAAATGAAGTAACGAAGAAAGTACAGATCCCAAATTGCGATGAAATATTTTATGCTGGTACAGGTATGTTACTCCTAAGAGATGCAGATCAAGTCACACTTTTTGATGTCCAGCAAAAAAGAACTTTAGCCGAAGTAAAAATTGCCAAATGTAGATATGTGGTTTGGTCTAATGACATGTCTCATGTTGCTCTGTTGGCTAAGCACACCGTCAATATTTGCAATCGTAGATTAGAATCTCTCTGTTCTATTCCTGAAAATACAAGAGTCAAATCTGGAGCTTGGGATGATTCTGGAGTATTTATATATACTACTAGCAATCATATCAAATATGCAATTAATAATGGTGATCATGGTATCATTCGTACGTTGGATTTACCTATTTATGTAACTAGAATAAAAGGAAACCAAGTATATTGTCTTGACAGAGAATGTAGACCAAGAATCCTGCGTATAGATCCGACAGAATATAAATTCAAATTAGCTCTTATTAACAGAAAATACGAGGAAGTATTACACATGGTTCGTACGGCTAATCTTGTTGGTCAATCCATAATAGCATATTTGCAACAAAAAGGATATCCAGAAGTTGCATTACATTTTGTTAAAGATGAAAAAACAAGATTCGGGCTTGCCCTTGAATGTGGTAATATTGAAGTTGCTTTGGAGGCAGCAAGATCCTTAGATCAAAAATCATGTTGGGAAAGTTTAGCACAAGCTGCTTTAATGCAAGGCAATCATCAAGTTGTAGAAATGTGTTATCAAAGAACTAAGAATTTTGAAAAATTATCATTTCTTTACCTCATTACCGGGAATTTGGAAAAGTTGCGTAAAATGATAAAGATTGCAGAAATACGAAAAGATGTATCTGGACAATATCAAGGTAGCTTGCTACTTGGTGATATTTATGAACGGGCAAAAATATTGAGGGTATTGTGTTTTTTCTTTCTCTCTCTAGAATATCGTATATTCTATCGTAATATACTCATTATGTGTGTGGCTTATTTGTTTTTTTGTTTGTATCATAGAACTCAGGTCAAGCATCGTTAGCCTATGTGACGGAAAAAATTCATGGAATTTCAAACGAAGACGATGACATTCAGTATAGCTCTATGCAAGATGAACTTTCAGCGCTTGAAAAAGGAGCTGTATATCTTCATCCACCAGTACCTATTCAACAAGCCGAAAATAATTGGCCACTGTTGACTGTTTTGAAAGGCTTCTTCGAGAGCGCTATGATGTCTCGTGGAAAGAGTCAAGTGGCTGCAGCTTTGGCTCCAGAAGATGATACCGCAGTAGTTACGGATGGTTGGGGCAACGACGAAGAATTAGGAATTGACGACGAAGAAGGTATCGATGCAGCGGAACATATTGCGGATGGCGAAGACACTGCCGGTTGGGATGTTGAAGATGTAGATCTTCCTCCAGAACTCGAAAATTCAATGCCATTATCCGAAGATGGTTATTATGCTATTCCAACGAGAGGAGTGCCGCAAACGCAACACTGGGTCAATAATTCTCAACTAAGTGTAGATCATATACTAGCTGGATCTTTTGAAACAGCTTTCAGATTGTTGAATAGTCAAGTTGGCGTTGTTGAATTTGCGCCTTACCAATCTCTCTTTTTAAATACGTATGCTCGTGCCAGGACATCGTTTGCCTCTTTACCAAATATATTATCATTATATGGATATCCTCAAAGAAATTGGAAAGATGCTACGCTAAAAACTAATTTACCTGCAGTCGGATTACACCTTACAGATTTAGTTCAAAGACTTCAAATTTGTTATCAATTAACAACGGGAGGGAAATTTGCCGAAGCGATAGAAAAACTGCAAGCAATATTACTTAGCATTCCATTATTAGTAGTTGATACTAGACAAGATATCGCGGAAGCTCAACAATTAATTCAAATATGTCGAGAATATATTTTAGGTTTAAAAATGGAAACGGAAAGAAAAAATCTGCCGAAAAATACATTAGCCGAACAAAAACGAATTTGTGAAATGGCTGCGTATTTTACTCATTGTAATTTGCAACCAATTCATCAAATTTTAACTTTAAGAATAGCTGCTAATATATTTTTCAAGTTAAAGAATTACAAAACTGCTGGTTCTTTCGCCAGAAGATTGCTTGAACTTGGTCCCAAGCCTGAATTGGCGCAGCAAGTTCGCAAACTTTTACAGGTTCAATTTGTATTCATTATTGCATGGGTAAATGTATAAAACTTAGTAGGAAATTATTTTACATATATATTATTTTTTTTTCAGGCGTGCGATAAAAATCCGAGTGATGAACATCAATTGGCTTACGACGAACATAATCCATTCTCGTTATGTGCGTGCACATTTACGCCCATTTATAGAGGAAAACAAGAAGTAAAATGTCCACTTTGCGGAGCAAGCTATCAACCACAGTTTAAAGATTCATTATGCAGAATTTGCGAAGTTGCAGAGATCGGCAAAGAGTGCATCGGATTGAAAATACATATGTAATTATATCATATTATTTAGTATAAAACTAGTATAATAAGATTGCATTTCAGTATCTTCGGATATTTATTTATATATTACTGACTTCAATTTAATGCACTATGCGAAATATTGATCGTTTATAAGTATGTCTCCTTAAAACTTCATTTTTTCAACTTTTTCTAAATATTATTATGTATTGATGATCTACAAGAGCACATGTTAAAATAATTGATATCAACCATAATGTATTAACAAATGAAGAAATACATTTCAGTTACATTTATATTACGTATAAGTTCCTCTCGGAATATAAGTGCAATCGCATTGTAAAACGAAAAAAAATATATAGTTTTATAAATATATATTGCAGATATTAAATTTGGATATATTTCATATAACTCTATCATTGAATTATATTAGTGTTTCACATGTGTTGAAACTAATTTAAATTTACTCGAAAACACCTATTATTATATTTAAGTCGATTTTCATTTAGTCATTTATTACTAACCATCTAGAGACATTTAGCATGGATGATTGTATGCATCACGAAGCCTATATACAAGGAGGACGATCGCAGTGTATAAATGTGGCTACGATATACACAATGACAGGATGATTTCTATTGCCACTAGAGAGCGCGTCGATTCGCATGATCTGATTTTTCAAATATGAAAAAACCTACCTTAAACTTAGGAAAAAAATAGAATAATTGGTTATGATATCACAAAGTCAAAAAAAAATAACAATAGCATGAAAAAATGTCGATAAATCATCCTATATATCTGTAAAAAAATTGTGAAATGGAATCAATTTATCTTTAACTCAATTAGTGTAAAAATGAATAATACTGCATGTAAAATGTAATTGCCAGTTACCTTAGACAGTTAACCACAAAATCAACAATATAAAATAACCTGTTGAGCTGTAAGAAAATTAATCCTAATCCTTTAATTAATCTTTAATTAAATGAAGGCTTCGTGATTAAAACAAAAACATCAAAGAGAACTATTTGTTTCATTGTTTATTTATAAAATCGCACGTACTTAAATCTGAACTTATGAACACCACCGCCGCCCTCGTGGAGAATTATCGAACTCGGTATTTAGTCATTTTAAACAACACTAATTCGACGAAAACGCCTATCTCGATCGTCCTCCTTGTATATAGCTTCATTGTATGCATGATAGAAAGGACCACAATAGGATATGCTCGCTAAGAGTAAACGAATAGAATTGTCGAAAATAATGAAACAAATGAATGTCACGTGAATTGGATTTTGATTATTTTCAAATAACAATATAAAGTTAGAACGAGTGTAAACCTTAAAATGTATTTTGATACAAATTATGACGTAAATCCCTAGAAAGATTTCTATCGTATAATATTAAAATTTATCTTTACCTTATCTCATGATTTTGTATTTAATTTCTTTTTTCTTTTTTTTTTGTCAATTTATAAAATTAATTTCATTATACCGCTATTTGTTTATAATTGTTGCATCTAAGAAAAAAATGTCAAAAGTTTCTATGTTCGTTTCAGTTGGTAAGAAAATTAGTTCTCAGCAATGCAAGTACTGTGCAATAATGGACGAAGATCGTGGAGCCCGCTTGTACGTGCCGTCAGATCGTTGATTAGAATAAATTTATTCGATCAACATATCTATTAACCGTGAGCCCTTCTGTATTTTGATTGTTGTTTTATTGGTATTCGCGTGTGACTTTAGTGACAATTGCTTTATAGTGAAAATTTTGGCGCGCCACTTTTCGTCGGTTTAACGGAACTTGAAGAATAAATCTAAATAATATAAACCGACGCGATATGAAGATTGATTGAATAAGGGGATCATTGTAGAATAAGGATCTGTCAATTGTTATTAGCGTTAGCTCGTAGCAGGATGATTGTGCAATGTGAAAAGTATGTACATGGCCAAGCCATTGGCGTTTGGTAAGCGGGCGCAGAATACGCACTAGAATACGTACTAGAATACGCGAGACCAGTGCCGTAAACATCGTGCGAGTAAATACGCGCTCTGCGTCCTCCCTGTGTATACGTGTTAACGTTACGCACAATTTCCCGATCTTCGGAGTTTTCCATTACGACGTAACCTTATTCTTTTCGACATTTTAAGTGTTCCTTTAGTTAATAATCATTAAGTGAAATAATCCAAATACTAAATCCATCTGAAATCACGTAGTAAGGGAGGTTAGAGTCTTGAAGAGGTACGGGTTGGTGGTTATCTAGACGGTCTTAAGTATATCGAAAGCGCTAACTTTCTGTCCCTCTATGCGAAGAAATTTTCCAATTTTTCATCGAAAGATAAGAAAGTGATAAGAAATTTAGAGGACTAAATAAAAGAAAAAGAAAAGAGAAGGAAAAGAGATAATTTAGTTTGTCTTTCTCTCAGAATCTAACATTAAAAAAAGGAAGATAAGAGGATTTTGGTAGCATCGGGGGAGGTTTGGTTGGTTCTGGGGGAAACAGTGTGTATAGTCGCGCGGCATGAGAAAATGATGTGATCGACGGTCATAATGGCGGCACCCATGTTAAAGTGGAAGCGAATCACAAATCCGGCCGGGCCTCAGCCAAGACCCAGACACGGACATAGGGCGGTAGCCATTAAGGATCTTATGGTTGTTTTTGGTGGTGGAAACGAGGGTATAGTAGACGAACTTCATGTGTATAATACAGGTGAGTCAATTTCGCGCTATTCTGCGTCCTTGCGCGCCTGATCCTAACGATTCCCGCGATCCAAGATGGCGGCATTCGTTGACAAGACGGTCACCGGCCGGAACCGATTGGGATCAAACAAATCTCTGCCTTGCCAATTCTTGACGCTTCCTTCGATTAATTAATTTGAAAATTTTCTCTAAACCAGTATTCTTCCTTTTTTCTTTCATCCTATTTTGCGATAGTTTCATTGCTAGCTTCTACTCCTAATGTCATTTTTCGTGTTTATACGCGCGGGAGCAGCCATTGCTATCTCTTCACCCCACCACGCAACGCAATGCAACGAAATGAAACGCAACGCTGCGCCGAGCTGTTTCCCATCATTCCGTGTTCATGCTCCGTCTTTCTTTCTATTATGCTACCTATCCCTCTCTCCTCCTCTAGTTTTCATTTTTATATTCCGACTCTTATATTTCGAACGTAAGCAATATCACCGTTGCCGCTGCCGCTTGGTGATGCGCGAGTTTACCAACATTTTTGTCTTTCTCTTTTACTTATTAAAATTATATCAATGAATATTTTCTCTTATCTAGCTATATTTAATGTTATATGACCAAAATGTAATTAAATGGAATAACATTCTTTTTTTACAGCTACTAATCAATGGTTTGTACCAACAACCAAAGGAGATATTCCACCTGGTTGCGCAGCCTATGGATTCGTGGTTGATGGCACACGTATATTAGTTTTTGGTGGAATGGTAGAATATGGAAAATACTCTAATGAACTCTATGAGCTTCAAGCAAGTAGATGGGAATGGAAAAGATTAAAACCTAAACCACCCAAACATGATCCTCCACCTTGTCCACGGTTGGGCCATAGTTTTACCCTTATTGGGAATAGAGTCTTCTTATTCGGAGGTTTGGCCAATGATAGCGAAGATCCAAAAAATAATATACCAAGATATTTAAATGACCTCTATACGTTGGAATTGCTTTCAAATGGAAATACAACATGGGATGTTCCACTAACCCATTGCCATGCACCTCCGCCTCGGGAGTCGCACACAGGTGTTGCTTATACAGACCGTACTACAGGTAAATCTTGCTTGGTTATTTATGGTGGTATGAGCGGCTGTCGTTTGGGTGACCTATGGTTTCTCGACGTCGATTCCATGACATGGAACAAGCCGGTAGTTCATGGACCTACCCCACTACCGCGTTCTCTTCATACTGCCACTTTGATCGGACATAGAATGTATATTTTTGGTGGATGGGTACCCCTTGTTGTGGATGACGTAAAAGTAGCAACACACGAAAAAGAGTGGAAATGTACAAGTACATTAGCATGTTTAAATTTAGGTGAGTTAACGTTTGATTATTATTCGTCTTTCTTTCCTCTTTTACAAATATAAACAATATTAAAATATGTTTATTTTTTTCTTTTTATTAGAAACATTAACTTGGGAACAACTGACAGTGGATTCTCTCGAAGAAAATGTACCACGTGCGCGTGCTGGACATTGTGCTGTTGGTGTGCACAGTAGATTATATGTTTGGTCCGGACGCGATGGTTATCGTAAAGCATGGAACAACCAGGTTAGGGTTAGTTATTATTTTGAAAACATTATCTGAAGAAATGGTTTTTTATTGACAGTATTTTGAAACTTATTGGCAGGTATGCTGTAAAGATCTTTGGTATCTCGAAGTGAACAAACCAATAGCACCTACTCGCGTTCAACTTGTCAGGGCTTCTACTCAAACATTGGAAGTCAATTGGAATCCTACGCCTTCTGCACAATATTATATTTTACAAATTCAAAAATATGATATGCCTCCTACTTCAACCGGAACATTTCCAACTGTCAGCGCTCCTACTAGTACGCCGATTACAACATCAGCAGTGGCAACGCCTGCAACCATACCTGTAACAACTCCTCCCATTACGACTGTTGCATCTCTTCCATCGACTCCAACTTGTGCAAGATCATCGGTACCTCAAACTCCGATAAGAGCCCAATCAACCGTACAAAGTCCTGCCCAAAAGGTACCACAAGTTACGCCAAAAGTAACGAATCCTATGACTCCAAGAGTGGCTGGAAATCTTATAAGAATTCGATCACCTATGGCAACTTCGGCAAGTACAACTACTGAACAAACTACTCCCATCACAACTGTAACTGGTCAAACGCCGACTGCTATGTCAGGAATTGCAGCTTTGGCTGCAGCTGCTGCTGCTACTCCAAAAATAAGTATGAATAATGTACCCGTAATACCGCAAACCACCGCTAATACTATTAGAATGAAGAATGTCCAACCGGGTCAGCAAATACGTTTCGCTGCGCCCGGAGCAACGGTACTGCGTACTGCATCTCCACAACAGAGTAAACAAATAATACTTCAGAAACCAGGTCAAAATATATCTGGTCAGCCCCAAATCGTACATCTTCTTAAAACTGGTCAAGGTATGGTAGCCACAGTGCCTAAAGTAAGTCTCATCCCTGGGAAAACTGTTCAAGCGACTGGAGCAAAGCCGCTTAATCAAGGACCTACAATACTGAGACTGGTTAATCCTAATACCGTCGCAGGATCTAAAATATTAACGACTATGAAAACATCTAGTATTGTAGCTATGAGTAAAGGACAAAATATAAGCGGAAAACAAACAATAATGATTACTAAACCTGGTGGTAATGGTGGCTTGGTTGGAAGAACAAATCAAATTATTGTTGTTACCACGGGATCTAGCTTAAGAGCTGTACAAGCTGTGACTACCTCCCAAGCTGGTACTGGTCAGACTGGTAGTTTAACCACTCCTGTTAACGTTTTACCTCTATCCGCTACAAATCATGTAACCAATCAACAAGGAGTCAAAATGATTGTGGTATCTTCTGGAGCAATGGGTGGAGCTACAGCTGGAAAGCCAATAACCATTACAGTTCCAGGGCAGGGTGGTGTACCAAAGACAGTAACTATTGCAACTAAAGGAAATCCTCAAGCAATATTCAATCCTGGGAAAAGTCAAATAGTTACGATGCCACAGATTCAAAAAGCGTCTGTAAGTATATCTTACATTTTATTTTCTGTATGTACATGTACATATTTATTTACCAATCGTTCTAATTTGTTCTCGTATGTATATGTATATATATATATATATATATATATATATATATTTTAGGAGACTATGGCAGTTTCTGGAAAGCCTGTAACACTGCAAATGTCAGGAGGTATAGGTGCTAAAACTGTTACTTTAATGCCCACGAGTAGTTCAATAGTTACTACATCCAGTGCATCCGAAACAATAGACGCCAGTAAAATGCTTTTTGTTCCACCGCAAAAGCAACCATCAGCTTCATTGGGTAAGTATTTAATTAAAAATATTCTATACGAGTCTAGTAATCATTATCGTTGCTTTGATGAAACAGCTCTATTGATGTATTATTGAAAATTGTAGCATCCACTTCGGATGGTCCAGCTACCACAGACGCAGCTTTAGCTGCTCTCGCGGCAGAAGCAGGTTTAATAGATCCTGTTCAAGAACCATCCGGTGGTCTGTCTTTCATGGTAACCACGGATGATGTTACAGAAGGCGATGGAAAAACAGAAGATAGTTGTAATGGTAACGAGGCAACAACAGCAGCAGCTTTAGTTTCTCAAATGACCACTGGTGAATCTATGCAAGTCGATGGAGAAGGAAATTTTATAATTCCACAAGTCGATGGTCCATCTGATATTGTTTTATCCGAAGATGAAAATAATAAAGCCGATTTAGAGGAAGAACCGACACCCGAAAATCAGGATGAACAACCAATTGAGGATTCTCAAGACATGGAACAAAATGTTGGTTCTGGTGTTACAGAAAATGTTTCTATGGAAGTTTCCCCTGTCAAGGAAACTGAAGTTAAAACAGAAACACCCTGCGGAACTTCTACTTCTGCAATCGTTGATGAAGAACCCATAGATTCGAAAGAAAATATAATCGATGTCAAAATGGAATCTATAGAAAGTACTAAAGAGTCGGATCTACCTAATGAAAATGAAACTCAAATGAGCGCAGCAGCGGAAGAAATGCAAATAAAGAGTGAAATATTTACTGAACAACAATCAGTTAGAGAAATTACACCGGAAGAAAGTATAACTGGGACATTAGTAGATTCGGTAGAAATCAAAAGCGAGCAACAAGATACAGGCAATGAATTAAAAAGTATTTCTTTTGATTCATATTCATCTGAGGAAAAGCCTTTAACGTCCGATCACATATCACCTGATGACAATGTTTTACATCAATCACATATCTCTACAGACGAAAACCAAGAAATGGACAATGTTAAAAACATTAAGAAGGAATCAGAAGAAGGAGAGCTTTTGAAGAAGAACTCTCCAATAGATAATACACCAGACGAAGACGAACCTATGTTAACGGATAATTCTTTACAAGAGACGGATGTAAATGTTCCTGTTGCAACTCCTGCTATCCCGACAGAATTACAAATGAAGTTAGAAGAAGAAGAGGAAGAAGAAGAAGAAGACGAAGAGGAAGAAGAAGAAGAAGAAGAATCGGATGAATCTATGGAACAAGATAAAATTCCTGACGTATCAGTATCAAGCATCAATGGTATAGCTTCAGTACTGAAAGAATCGGATGTTTCTCAGAAGTCAATGACGACAGTAAAAGTGGAAAATAAAGAAGAAAATGTTACAAAAAGGGATAACTTGAAGCAAGATAAAGTACATAATAACAGATCGGAAAGTGGAGATGATTCGACGGCATTAACTACTTTGGCTACTGCTGCTTTGGGATCGGCGGAACCACCTGTCAAAATTAAAAATGAACAAGTTAGCTTGTGTTTTTACTTAATAATATATATATAATATTATTTATTTATTATAAATATGAAGCTTTTAATGTTAATTTACTTATTTATAGAATGAAGAAGAAAAGAAAGAAGCCAAATGGTATGACGTAGGAGTTATAAAAGGAACAGCTTTTACAGTACAGCATTATTATCTTCCTGGAGATGAGCCGCTAGATGTAACGCAACCGTTGACGATGGATGTTTTTAAAGGAAGAACAAAGATACCTCTCGAACCTGGAACTGCCTATAAATTCCGAATTGCAGCTGTGAATAGCTGTGGACAAAGTGCCTGGAGCGAGGTCAATTTGATACATTTTTGATTAATTATTAATGAAGATTTATATCATTGATTAATTTACCTGGCCTTACTACGTAATATTTACTTATTATTGTTATAGGTATCAGCATTCAAAACGTGTCTTCCAGGATTTCCAGGTGCTCCAAGCGCTATTAAAATTTCTAAATCTACAGAGGGTGCTCAAATATCTTGGGAACCACCACCTAGTAACGTGGGACCTATATTAGAATATTCTGTCTATCTAGCAGTTAAAACTGCTAATCCACCATCAATTAATGAAGGAGAACAAAAAACGGTCGTGTCAACACCAAATCAATTAGCTTTTATTAGAGTATATTGTGGTTCAAACAATTCCTGTTCTGTGACTAATAGTTCTCTAAGTACTGCTCATATGGATGTAACTACAAAACCGGCCATAATCTTTAGAATAGCAGCAAGAAATGATAAAGGATACGGACCAGCAACACAAGTTAGGTGGTTGCAAGGTTGGTTAAATATATTTATTTATTAATTTCATTTGATAAAATCTTATTAGATAATTATAATGAATGCCTTCGTATTAACTTGATTATAATTAGATAACTAAAGAGATGTTATTTCATTAGCAGATCCAACTAACGCCGTAAAAAGCAATCCACAGGTCAAACGACCTGGCTCGGATATACGTTCGCAAGTAAGTTCCCCGCAAAAAAAAGTGAAATCAGACACACCAGGCGATAATTTTTCGTGAGCCTGTCGTATTTGACTTTTTATAACTCAAACGAAATGCTATTCATTATTTCATTTCCGCTGACATACACACGCCTAACGATGATAATGAAACAGTGTATTGTTTGAGCGAACAACGTGATATATGTATGCGAGTAAATACAAAAATTAAATCTGCGATAAGAGGTAATGGAAAAAACGGAAGGAAAGAAAGAAATAAAATAAGAAAAAGAAGAAGAAGATATGTCCATAAGTAAAATGATCGACGTATACAAACATAAGAATTTAAAAAGTATTTTAAATGTTCTATATAAATACAAGGTCTTTCTGTACCACGATTTTCACTCACCGTTATCCTCCTATTCTTTCGCCAAGTAAGCGAAAATATTCTGTAAAGACAGTATGAATACCATTAATAAATGACAAGAGGTAATTATTTTGAAGTTAAACAAGTTTTTCCATGTTTATAGTATTTCTATAAATGGTAAGACATATACAGGATATTCACACTTGCATCAAAAATCCAACACATTTTTTAGCTATTCCAAATTACTGTTACGTTAATAACATCACACACACACACACACAGTATATCATTTTAATTTATTCTTAAATTATAATTATCTTTTTTTAAATTAAATATTTATTAATCATTTTAAAGTTTTAACAAAACAAAGAAAGAGAAAAATGCAAAATTTTGGAGTTATAAAAAAGGCCCGATGCAAGTGTAAAAAAAGAAAAGAAGACAAAAATTTTGAGATTATAACAGAAACACAATTCACATAAAGTATCGGTGCTATACATTTTCTTGGATACTTTTATTACTGCCAAATAATAAAAGAAAAGAATAGATCATTCAGAATGAAAATGCAACACGTACTGAATCATCTCTCTCTTTCTCTCTCTCTCTCTCTCTCTCTCTCTCTCTCTCTCTGTCTGTCTGTCTCTCTCTCTCTCTCTCTCTCTCTCTCTCTCTCTTTCTTTCTTTCTTTCTCTCTTTCTCTCTTTCTCTCTTTCTCTCTTTCTTTCTCTTTCTCTTTCTCCTACTCAAGAACGTCTAATTGTACATTACTTTTGATTTATTAGTCTCCTAGAACATTGAGAGACAAATATATTTTGTAAAAATAGAAAATAAAGAAAGGAAATGTGTGTAATATCCACGTATGTCTTAAGAACTCGATTTAAAGATACTAATATTTTAGTAAACAGACAGTTTAAAAAAGTTACGGATATTGACCATAAGGAAAAAGAATATTTGTTTTTATTATAATATATTATAATATTAGTATTATTAATATATAGGAACAATCTGTTATAGACGAAATTGGATATAGTTATGGAAGCACGTACATAATAATTGAAAAATATTAAAATTTAATATCCCTAACTCTTTTCTCTTGTGCATAATAATATAATACATTTTAATCAAAATATTCAATACAAGCTTTTTTACCAGGAAAAAAAACCGGAAAAATTGAAATAATTAAATACCTAAAATATATTATGCTTCTTCTAGTTTTTTCTGGGTGGCTTTTCTTTGGGGCTATGTTAAAACTTTACGATAATAATTTAAACGCGCACATTTTATGTTGAATTACGAATATGTTTTGCGTTATCACCCATCTCTAAGTAAAAAAAGAATAATAATCCACTAATAGATCATTGGGAGAACTCAAACGTATAAATCTCATTAGTGGAATTATTACATATAGATGGATTATTTCAATTATACATGTTAAAAATAAAAAAATTAGTTTTTAGTATAATTTTGCATTATCTGAACGTACATATTTTACTTTTAGTTTGTATTTCAAAGAAATGTTTATTGGATTAACAAAAATGACGACAAACAAAATTACCGGTAAAATCTTGTGTATTATATACTTGATATTATTATATATACGTATATATATATATATATAAAAAGTTAAATAATGTTGTTTTTAAATCGTCAAACGTGTATTCCAATTTTGTGTTTTGAATTACTTCACGTAAATGATACAAATTTGCGAGCAACTTATTAATACATTATTAATAAGTTTATTAATTAATTCTCGTATCGTTTTGTTTTGTAAATTCTATATGCAGAAGATGATGCTAGTTTTTAAAAACTATTAGCAAATATAAAATATTTTCATAAATATATGTATCATAGAGCATTTTGATTCTCTCTCTCTCTCTCTCTCTCTCTCTCTCTCTCTCTCTTTCTCTCTCACTCTCTCTTTCTGCTGTCTGTCTGTCTGTGTAAATCATCTCGCTGCATTTACATTAATAACAATATGCTCTCCAATATATTGTAAGATCTGTTAATAAATGTAGATCAATTTCATAAAAAGAAACTAGATTTCATTTGATTATGGTATTGTATGTAATTACAGAATGTACTTATACTATTGTATATACCATAACATATTAGAAGAATAATTGTAACGAACTTTATGGTACTTTATTTGATGTATTTAAATGAACATGTACCAATAATCTTATATCGGAAGAATCATAAGGTACAAAGCACTTAAAAATTGGATAAAACATATAGCACATTGCGTTCTTTGATCCAGCGAGGATATCCGCGTGTGTATATGATTTATTTTCAATCATTGCTTGTTTTTAAATCTACAATATTTACTATTCATAGGTGTAGTTGTTTCTTTGCATGGAAAAAATGTTGATTTCATTTAACATAAATAAGCTTGAAATAAGAAAGAAAATGTAAATTAGTATTAATATTGTAGATAAGATTGGATGAATAGCGGAGTAAACAAATTCATCCATGTTGATAATATATCAGAATTCTTTCGTGTTGCCTTTCCATGGATAAGCATCCAGCCTTTTCTTGGCAGTAATGAAAGCAAGTTATCGATGTATTTTACAAGTTTAATTGACCTTTCAAATGCACTAGATTTTGTTATAAGATAACAAATGGTGATAGGAAACCAGCTCTACTTCCTTATAATAATTTTATTCATAAAGCGGATGTAACATGTTGGTAGAAATTATAGAATAATAACCGACAACGATTTTATTAGAAAAAGAAAAAGGACAAAAAAATTTCTACATAATCGTATAGCGAGCGTTTAGAAAGAAACCATACTCTTTGATAAGATAAGTAAATTTAAAATAAATTAACAATATATTGAATATTTATGAGATGCAAGCAAATAAACTATGTTATAGGAGAGATTCCTGATTGGCTGTAAATAATATAATGCTGCTACATGCTATAATGAAAATTCAGAAGAAAAAGGTAAAGAATTAGTAAAGAAATATTTAAATGTATTATTGCTAAATGAATGGATATTGCTAGACGTTGTGCCGCATACAACTTGCAATGAAATAGCGCATATTTATACCTATTTTTCCACACATATGAAACTTCAAGTAGATTTTTCGGCGTCTTTCATATTTCAAATTTTTGAGAATGACTAGAAAAGTACAGACATCTTATGTATTTAATAAGATCACAAGATATTAAAAGACTTCTTACAGGTATATTTGGAACACCCAAAAAAGGAAGTTAAAGGTTCGTCTTATCGGTATACTTATTATTTATGATACTGTTTTATAATAAGATAAATACCAAGTAACAAAAGTAATTAATAAAGCAGTTGTGGGAATACTATTAAGGAAAATGGATAGTTTCCAAATGTTTCTTATAATAAATGAAGAGTACATACTTTTCCATAGACAATTATCTTCTACATATTTCTATGCATTAATGAAAAATGAATAACAAATCTGAAGATTTAAAAAGAAACTAATTGTAAGTAATTTATTAAAATGCTATTTTAAACGGTCAGCAAAATGAAAATTCTTTCAATTAGGTAGAAATTTTCTAAAAAGGAAAATAAATATTCGTGAATTTTTTCTATTGCTGGATTCGAAGAAATTTCTTGCAAGCTATTGTATATATGTCTTGTGAACCGTGTTAGATTTTACAAATTTTTAACAGCATTTTTTAAATCCGTGTGCCTAATCGCAGACCCGATCTATGAAATAAAACAAAATCTTTGATCGCTTAATAGTTCTCTAAAGAAAAGAATTTACGTTGATAAAAAAAAGTTGTATATAAAATGTATGTTATACGAGAAAAGAAAAGGATTTTAATTTTATATTATTTTTAATTTTCTCTCTCTCTGTAATCGTTTTAAATAATTATTAGGACAGAATTTCATTGAAAGTAAGTTACTATTAAATTTGTGTATATACAACTCTAGATTTAAAAGAAAAAAAAAAGGAGAAAGAAAAAATCTAGAAATGATTTAGATAATTAGAACTAATTTAGATAAGGGAATAAATGTTGGGCCAATGGCAATACCATCGAAACTAATATGTTATTAAATTTTCAAAATGATCATTCGTCTAAACATATAATGAATTTACAATTTGATTAAACAACATACAAGCCACCTTCGACTCATTCTATTCAATAATAAATAATCTATGATGGTAGAAAGTTAAGTTAAGACAAAATATATTATGTATAATGAAGGTAAAAATAAAGTAAATGTGACTTTCGTATTTACATATGTACATACATATATGCATGCATACATATTACATATAAATAATTTCCCTTTTACATTGATACCAAATAATTATCTTCTAAAAAAATAAATTTGTTTTTTATATTATATATCAAATAACAATAATAATAATAAATTCGTATGTTGGGTTTATATGCGCGCGCGTTATTTTAATAATGCGAATGATACATAACTATTAGTTGCTAGAAAATATTTGAATTTTCGTAACTAATCTATCATTGACATTGAAATGTGTTGCATATAAAAAAAATACAAAGTATACTTAGCATACTTTTGAATAAATGTTCACAGTCGTTTATCAGTTTGTTAATCGAGTGAGTGTTAATGATTGATAAGCGTGAAAATGTTTGTATGCACATTAATAAAAGATAGCACAAATGGTAACCACACACGAATATATAGACATTAGTATTTACTAAACGTTCGTGTCATTAATTAAGAGAGAAAGAGAGTGAAGTAACTATTATATATTTTTTCTTTATATTGTAGACATGTATACGTGTCGGTGACAAAACTAACAATTAATATTATAAGCAATAAGAAGGAAACACGTATGAAGAAATATTATTTCTAAGATGTTTCGATCGCAAATGTCATAAAAATGTCGTTGTTGATTTAAAGGTTAGAGTGTACGAGCATTCATATATTTATGTATATACCGGGAGGTATTAATTAAATAGAAATTTCTCTACAAGTATATTTACAAAAGATTATCTACAAGTATTGAGATTGACTAGAGATTGATTTTATTTTCTTTGTTTTATGAGATTATTAATATTAAAGCTTGTTAGGTTTCAAGTATAATGGGTATCGATAGCATGAGGGTCGGTGGAGGCAGATGTTCACCTCTTTTAGTTGGAGGACTTTTAATAGCGTGTTTAATGCTTATTTGCAACTGGTGGACTTTGTCGTCTGAAAATTTTGATTTAGTCCACCAAATCGATGAATTAAGCGAGCAACTTAAAATAAGGTAGTGTATATTACATGTATACAGAAAATATATTTTTTATAATAATTCATATTACATTGCACAAATATTGTATCAAAGAGTTTCTTAACAGTAATTCAAATATATGAATATATATATGTATCATTACTAATTTAAATAAAATTGTCTCTTTTATAGCGCAGAAGAAAACGATCAATGCATAACATTACGCAGTAAATTAGAGCAAAGATATAAACACATAGAAGATGAAGTAGCTTATTTGCACGTATCTTTAGAAAAACAAAATGAGTTTAACAAAAAGCAGAAAAAAGAATTTGAAAATTCTATAGCAATATGTAAAAGTGAATTGGACTCAAATAAAATGGATGTAAAAAGAAAAGAAAATGAAAAACTTCAAGAAGAATTGGACAAAGTTCGTTGCTACTTTTTTTATATGAAATATATTATTTGTGTGTAATAGGTATTAAATTATTAATAATATAACTTTTATAGGTCAAAGATGAAATGGAAAAATTCAAACTTGCCTATAATGCCCCGATTGATAGTATTAGATCTGATCCTACGTTAACACGTAAGTTGTTATTTCCATAAAACATAGTATTTTACTTAATATTTTTAATTTCAATAATATATTTATACATTAAATTATGTATTTACACACACACATATATATATATGCATAATTTAATACATAAATTATATGAACATTTTTTCTATTATTTTTCTCAATTTATTCATTTATTACGTTTTAATCCTATTTATATTTGTTATTGAATATACTTAAAACTAAATTATTAATGCAATGCTTTATATATATTTAGAAATAGTAATTAGAATATTAGAAAGTTAAAATAGGTATTCTTATTTGTTCAAGACGAATCAAGTTAAATCATTTGTAAAAAGTAAAAAAGTATCGCCTTTTACTTGTATTTGTTGACTTACGCTAGTATCATAAAATATTATCAGACTCTGCTGATTTAGCTACAAGAAAGGTCATTGATGGTAGTCAGTTACGTCTTGTTCGGGACTCTGCTATAAGAATATCTGTAGCTGGTCAGCGTGGTTTGAAGTACCATCAAATTCCAATTCTACCATCAGATCCACCCGGTGCAGTGCGCTTAGCTCCTCGTCTTTCAGTAACAATGTTAAAAGGTAGTGGTACTTTCCTCAAAATTCCGGGAAAGAAAGAAACTGCCATGAAAATTCACTAGCTCAATTTTTTTATTTACTTTTTTTTATAGAAAAAAGCACATATATTACATATCAATCAATAATTTTTTCTTATTCCTATAATTTTCCATAAAGAGATGATTTACAAAATTAATCACAAATCTTAATATATTGGGTTGGCAAGAAAGTAATTGCGGATTTTTTCCATAAAATAAAAGTGGTTTTTTTCTTACTTGGAATGAACTTTAATCTATGATGTATTTTCCATTTTGTTCGATGACCTTTTGCCATCTCTCTGACAACTTGAAAATTTCACGCTCGTAGAAAATCTGATCTTTTTCGGCCAAAAACTGAAGTAAGTGCGATTTTACAGCGTCATCATTATTAAAAGTTTTACACTGGAGGGAGTTGGCCACAGATCGAAATAAGTGGTAATCCGATGGTGCAAGATCAGGGCTCTATGGTGGGTGTAACATCAATTCCCAACTAATATCCATCAATTTTTTCCGAGTGGCCAAAGACGTGTGCGGCCTAGCATTGTCCTGGTGGAAAATGAMACCTTTACGATTGACCAATTCTGGTCGCTTTTCCTTGACTGCTGCATTCAATTTGTCCAGTTGCCGACAGTAGACCTCCGAATTAATGGTTTGGTTCCTTGGAAGCAGCTCAAAATACACCAGACCTTTCCAATCCCACCAAATTGACAGAAAAATCTTCTTTTTTTGGATATTTGCCTTTGAGGTGGTTTGCGATGACTCATTAGACGTGCACCGCGATCGTTTTCGATTGACATTGTTGTATACAATCCACTTTTCGTCTCCAGTAATGATTCGTTTTAAAAACGGATCGAATTCATTGCGTTTAAGTAATAAATCGCAAACGTTGATACGCTGTGTCAGATGGATTTCTTTCAAATCGTGCGGAACCCAAATATCCAGCTTCTTAACGAGCYCAACACGTTTTAAATGATTCTCAATGGTTGTATGTGAAACATTTAGCTTCTCTGCTATCTCCCGTGTAGTTACGTGACGATCCGCTTCAATGATTGTTTTGATTTCATCCTCATTCAGCTTAACTRGTCGACCTGAACGTTGGTTATCTTTAAGAGAAAAATCTCCAGAACGGAATTTTTCAAACCAATTTTGGCATTRSCTTTCWTTAAGGGCTTCATCMCCATACACATCACGTATCTTTTTTGCGGCTTGCCTTGCGTTCTTTCCTTTACGGAAATAATAAAGCAAGATATTGCGAAAATGTTCATTTTTGCACTCCATATTAATATTCAAATAAAGAAAGAACATTAAGATAATATCTGCACAATGATTTCATAACGTTAAGTAAGGATTACAAATAACATATATAATAAAAAGAAAATCATAACATTAACGAGTATTATAAAAATGGGAGTGAGACATCTATAATCAAAATCAGCAATTACTTTCTTGCCAACCCAATATAATTGAAAATCTCCTAGATTTTCAATCGAAAAAATATATATGGGGCATTCCACGTCAAATCGATCACTTTTGACACCGACCACTTTCGATTTGGCTGAAACTTTTTTATCATTTTCTACCCCATTGAAAACCTCTCTGAGAATCTTTTCAAATAACCGTAACTTTGTCAAGAATTGACTTCTAGGGACGTTTTTTTTAAATTTTTGTTTTTAAATGTACTTTTTGGAAAAAAATATAAAAAAAATATTTGAAGTTAAATTCTTTAAGATATTTCGGTTTTTGTGAAAAAAACCTCATATTTTTCAAATTCTGGTATTTTTTATTATTTTTTATGCTTTCCTTTTAAACTTTAGTTCATTCTAAACTTAATTCCAAACTTCGCCTGATGGGCCAAAATTTTTTTCTATTTTTTTTCCTAATTAAAAATGTTTTTGTATTTTTTCGTAATTTAATTTCTTATAAAAAAACACCATATGAAACCATAACGGTGAAGTTTTTCCCAATTGAAAACTACAATAAAGCTGCAGAAGATCTAGTTTACTGATTTAAAAAACAAAAACCATTGCAGGAACTCAGCAGTTTCATAGTATTATATCAAGCAATGATGGGTGTTTGTAAGGAATAATTCTAATTCAGAACAATATACTATTTGTAAATTATTTAAGCGACCAAGGAAATCTAAATAAATTGTTAATTATATTCACTTAAATAATTGACCAATGGTGCATTGCAATCTTTTTGAAATTATAATTTTCAATAGTATATAATTAGACTAAGGTCATTAAATAGATTTAAAAATATTTATATATATTTATTTAGGTTTATTTTAGTATAAAAGCAAAATTAAATTACGAAAAAATACAAAAACATTTTTAATTAGAAAAAAAAAATTGAAAAAAATTTTGACCCATCAGGCGAAGTTCGGAATTAAGTTCAGAATGAACTAAAGTTTAAAAGGAAAGCATAAAAAAAAATAAAAAAATACCAGAATTTGAAAAATTTGAGGTTTTTTTCACAAAAACCGAAATATCTTAAGGAATTTGACTTCAAATATTTTTTTAATATTTTTTTCCAAAAAGTACATTTAGAAACAAAAATTTAGAAAAGAACGTCCCTAGAAGTCAATTCCTGACAAAGTTACGGTTATTTGAAAAGATTCTCAGAGAGGTTTTCAATGGGGTAGAAAATGATAAAAAAGTTTCAGCCAAATCAAAAGTGGTCGGTGTCAAAAGTGATCGATTTGACGTGGAATGCTCCATATGCATTTGCTGTTAAAATATGATGAATTTTAAATAATGATTAATACTTATATAATATCAGTTTAAATTTCATTTAGATTTTATAAATTTTTGTATGCTTGTTGTTATTATACGTATGTAACAAATGAACAAATGGAATATACATCATTTTTTCAAGGAAAATTAATATATAAGTTTTGTAATATAATTTTTCAGCTAAAAGAAATTCACTGCTGGAAAGTAGCACAATTGAAGAAATGAGAAATGACAAAACAGAGAAAATTGGTAATAGAAAATTTTAATCTATATATATATATATATATNTATATATATTATATACGTTATTAGACAAATATATATTTCTAAGCAAATGTTTATCTTCATTCAGATATAAGTAATGAAGAAAACGAGGCAGCAAAAACTATTTCGTATGTAGAAAAGAGAAACAATCAATTGACGCATTAAATATCTCTGTGATATATTATATACTTATTTACTGAAGTCTTGTCAATTAAAGCATAGGAAATAATGATGATGTATAATATTTAAGAAAATAATAACAGATTCATTTTGAAAATAATGTTCGAAGCTTCTAATATTTGGTCTTAATTATGTTACATAACAATGCTAAGTATTATTCTACTTATCCATTTGAAAAATATAATACAATTATATTTGTTTCAATGTAAAATTGTAGAATATAAAGATTAAGTATAAGTACAATGTATTTTTCTTTTAACATCCATTTTCCTATATATTTATGAGGAAATATAATTATCTAGAAATAACAAGGATTTATTAGGGAGAGATAAGATAAATGAATAATTTAATAATATTTAAATATGGTAATACATAGAATAATATAAACTGTGTGACGTACAAGTGTCATGTTATAAATAATATGATATGTACTGAAAGTAATTACCAACAGCATCGATATTTTTTTAAATCTTTTGTTACAAATAATTTTCATACTTTTGTTACATTATTTTCTTTTTTGTTTGAACTATATAACAAATGAACTAATAACTTACATTTCAATTCACATTTAAGGACATTACGACGATTGAAATATAATTATATTTCATATGATGAGTTGTGCGTATATAAAACGCATTATAAGGACGATTTTATTAAAATATACACATTGTACATAAATAATATTTAAGCTGCACGATTTAACGCTATGGATTGATATCCACATAACAAAATGCAGAATATTTTTGACTAGGATAGTATCAACTAACGACTAGATATTTATTCTGTCAACTTTTTCTTTTTTCTTATGTGATAACTTGGGTATAAAAATGTCTTTAATGTTAAAGACATATTAAAATATTCGTACGTACCACAAGTCAACTAATAAATAAAAAAATAAAGGAATAGCCTACAACTATTACATATTTACATATGATGGTCTTTGGATTGCTAAATGTTATATATACTCTAATGTCAATATGTCCCGATTGTCCCTTCCAAAAGTCCTTATTTTTTGTGCGACTTTTATATCTAAATAAATATTATTAAACTGCAAATTTTATACACAATTCTGACCGTTACATAATACCTAAAGTAACTTCTGTTAAATTTAGTATAAAAAATTATTATCAGTATTTATATTGCCTTTTCACGTATAAAGCTTTTTTTAAAGGAAGATAAATAGGAATTTTACTAGCTTAGAATTTTTCACAAGTCAAACGATACGTTAAATATTTATTCTATAAAATGTTCATTTAACGTTTTATGTTCATGCGTATATATATACATTAATTGGTTTCCCCATTTAGCGATATACCAATAATATTTATCTCTTTGGATCTTTACGTCTGCAGTATTGTTTTATAAACGAATACATAAGAGCTTGTATATTTATCAACAGCCTTAGAGATGAGTAATATTTACGAAAAATGTGCTAGACGTACGAAATAATGTCATGTAGAATGTATTGCTATAATACCTGTAAGTTTGAATTTAAAGTTGTTAATTCTTCTTTTGCTAAATTCTATGTTAAACTTTATCGCTCTATAGGACATGCTACAAAGTTTGTACCGACGTAAGATAAATCTAATATAGAAACATGCCACCTCAATGTATGCTTTCTTGTTTCAAAATGACAATGACCTATGACTTAGGTTTGAGAATAAGGCAGTGTGATGTTAGTAAATAATTAATTTCTAGGAAAGTACTCTAAAAATATAAAAATCATGACAATTTTTCTCTTCGTTGTAATTTAGCCCAAAAGTAATTGCTTCTCCTTCTATATTTTTAGCTAATGTAAAATATCTACTAAATTCCTTCAAAATGGGTTATTATTATGGAAAATAGTGATGATGATGATGTCTTCGTTTCCTTCTGTATATAAAAGCAAAAATTGAACGAAGACGCCACCAACGACTATGTTTGCGAACCGAATTATGTGATCTTTCTTTTGAGCGTATCTGTCGAACTAACGAATAAAAAGAATCGTCTATAAACTGTCGAAGTGCAGCAGATGTTTCATAAAATGGGCAGCCTAATTGTTCTGCAAGCGCTTTACCTTCTTCCATTGATACCTATGAGGAATGTTGCATTGAAAACTTAACGTTTAGATGATACATTACGTGTGCTATACTTTACCTCTCGTTGATGTTCCAAATCAAATTTATTACCAACCAGTACAAGTGGAATATGCTCATTAGGCCGTACACGTGATATTGATTTACGATATTCTAAAGCTTCTTGAAAACTATGTCTATCTGTTACAGAATAACATATCATAAATCCTTCGCCACACCTCATATACTGATCACGCATTGCTGTAAATTCTACCTGCATTCAAGATCACATACAATATACAAATATGTTATATCAAATTACTGAATGGACAATGAACAAATACCAGACCTGCCCAGCGGTATCTAAAATATCCAAAAGTGCTGCTTCTCCGTCTATTACTGCTTGTTGTTGGTATGAATCCTCTGTTAAAAGAAATACACGTTAAATAGGAAAATATATAATGCAAACCAAATGACATCTTACCTATAGTTGGGTCATGACATTCGAGAAAACTATGACTTACAAATTGCAAAGTTACAGCTGAAAAAGAATTTATATTAATGAACGTATTCTGTGTGTGTATATTTGTTATATATATATACATGTACATATAAATGTATATATTACACACATTTGCCTAAATAAGAGTATTTTTATTCCAAGCCGATTTTCAATAGAAAAATAAATACCTGATTTTCCAACACCACCATCACCCAAGACAACTATCTTGTAAACTCTAAGCCCACTCCTTGTAGTAGGCTGTGACCCTACCGACATGTTGCCCTTGGCGTTTATTGCTGCATTTTTTTCTTGTAAAATGTCAAGTGACATCATAAAAAATTTGTGCGAGTTGAAAATGTAGCCTTTTTCTTGGATCTATATTTACCATTGAATATTTTCAATATGACCGCAACATATTTATTTGATTGAACAATAATTTATTTTTGTACAGATAACCCAACTCCATTTTATTCAAACAAATGAGATTCATGTTTAATCTCCTCTGCAAAATGTTACATCGCAATACTTTCTTTTAGGCTGTCTCGAAGTTTAACACATTGATCATTTAAAGAAATGATTTAAACGAATCATTTAAATGTACCCTTTATTAAAGTTAGACACGGCATGGCTTAAACGCACGTCCCTGACAGAACATTCACGATGATCCACGACCATCCACGAGACAACTCGGAGCAACCATATATTGACACATATTAAAATACATGTATTTAATGCAGTGGCGACATCTTCGTTTATTTTCCCTCAAAACCTCCCTTTTTCCTTATAGTCGAAAGTACAATACACTCTTATGTATTTCTATACTCGTTTATTTGTCATATATATATACACGTGCTTTATATTACAATACAATGAATTATTTAAGTTTTAAAGGAAATATCACTTGGACAATTTTATTAATAACGCTACGAATTACAAATTGAGGCGATACACAGGAAACATGTCAGTTCTATATACAGTTACGACCTCCTGTATTGTTTCTATACTTGCCGAGTATGATATAACTAATTATTTCATTTTAGAAATCTTTTCAATAAGGATCATCGTCAATCGGTTTCTTTTGCGGATATTGCTTATAATACCATTCCACGTATTCTTTTTTACGTTGTTCACGACGTGCAAAGTATTTAGGATACATAGCTTTTTCTATTGGATGCCATTTATCTAGTAAACTATCAGGGACTAAGGCATCTCGATTATACGCAACACCTCCTGGAGCATCCGGATATATGAATGGTTGGGGATGTTGTCTTTTAAATAATTCCTCTTCTCCTTCATGTAACAGATGCTTCGCTAATCTTAAATCTGCGATACGTGCATTTTTATCAAAGCGTTGTCGAAGTTTTACAGCCTGATATCTAATAGAAAAAAGAAAATAAACGTTCGTCATTTTATACTGTTGTAATACATACGATATAACTTGTATGTAATATATATAATATGACAAATGTTAAATAATTGATTATTCATTATAATACCTGAATTCCAATCGATCATAATAATATGCCTTAAGACATGTCAAAGCTCGTTTGTATAAGCTACAAACTTTCTGAGAATGACTTACAATTCCGGTTGGTAATTGTGCCATATTTTATAATTTCTCAATTGAACTTTTTCTTCAATTATAAGATTACATGATCAGGATGAACTATACTTGTATCATCTTTAACCTACAAATTCAAGAATATTTCTTGTTATATTTGGAATGATGTATGTAGCGACATTCGGTGGATTTTTCTCAAAGTTTCGCATAATGGCAGTATATTTAAATTGTCCCTTTGTGTCTGCATTTGTAATGTATTAAACATATCATTTTGTTTGTTAAATATTCGCGTCTTTAAACATTAATCAGAATAAAATAAGTTTTAAATTAGTTTAAATTTATCGATACTCGTATTCGATATAACATATAAGGGTATATGATTGATATAAAAAGTTGCATGCGATTGGTTGACTTATCAATAGGTCGATTTATTGGTTAATGAGAGGTGTTTATTTTTCTCTTTTTATACATAAAATCTTTTTCTCTTTGAAAAATAATTAAGATTAATGGATTATGTATTTACAATATTAAAACGAATAAATAATAGATTAATCTATATTATTGAGAAATAAGAATTATAAATTCAAATGGATTTGAAATTAAAACGTTACTTGTCGTTACTTCCGGTTAGAAACTGCGACGGAACTAGAGTAAACGTTAAGCGATGGCGTCGCCCAAACGATATTGTCGTATGCAGTTGTCGTTTCATTAACGGACCCTTTACATTTCTAGCTTCTATAGAAAAATTTCTGTGGATTTGAGGTGCTTAACAAACTGTTCACGACCGATTCTTACCGAGCGACTATACGCTCAAGCGTACGATACGTTGCTTTAATTTGCAATCCCATCAAAGCTGTATATGATAAAGATGATGCGCTTTACTATCCAAATTTTCATTTTTGTCGCATTATGTGGATAAGAATGAAAGATTGCGCGAAAAATCTGTTCAAAATGATAGATTTTATATTTGAATGAAATGTGAAATAACATAGAGTCAGCTGGTTGTTTCATATATACTTTTTTATAATGCAATTTCAAATACATTTTTTGCAATTATTTTTCATGTCTTTTTTTTTTTTTTTTTTTTTTTTTTTTTTTTTTCTATTTTTAGGTAATAAAAGAAGTAATCGTACACTTAACGGGAAGATACACGATGATGCCAACAATGCCACCAGATTCTCATAAAATTTCTTTAAAAATAATAGAAGCTATTAAACAACATCCTGTTCTCTATAGTTCAGAAGTTAAGGGATCTTCTATTAAGCTTCAAGAATTTAAACAAAAAGTTTGGAAACGTATTTCGGATGAGCTTGGTCTCGATCGTAAGATTATATTATATTATGTACATTATACATTAAAATAGACATTATTTTTTCATGAGACCCTGTTGATAATAAAGTTATTTAAACGTGATATATGTATTTGTGTGTTATGACAGCAAGCTGGGTAAGATTAAGGTGGAAAAATCTACGGGATACCTATTGTCGCATCTTAAAGTACAAAAATAAGACTGAGAAAGGTGTGAGAAGAAAGAAATGGATTTTTGAAGATCATTTAAGTTTCTTAAAATTTCCGTAAGTAGTTTGTGTAAATATAATTGATATCAATTATTAATATGTACACACATAATATTTTGAATGTAATTGAGTATATACATATTTAATTAGATATGAACCAGATTATCAACCTCAAACTATAGAATTGTCGGAAGAATATATACAAGACATAAATGCAGGTGGAATAAGTTCAGAAGGTCTATTGGAACAATTGGAAGATCGCAATGATGAAGATTATGATGAATATATGGAGGTACTCGAAGAGACTATGGCGGATCCAGTTTTAGTGGATACCAATCCTTTGGAAATGTTAAATGCCAATGATCAACAATTAGAAGGTATTAAAAAAATAGAAAGGGAACAGATGCAACTACACAGTCAAGACGTGGATACTTATATTCAACAAATACAATCAAAATATAGAAAGATAAGACCCAAGAAGTCAAAGGCGGAAAATCCGTCTAGTACAGAGGTGCCTAACACTTATAGTATTTTAAAGACTACTTCCAAAAATAAAAATGTGGTCTCTATTGATAACAATACTATAACCAGCCCTATTTTCGTAACCAGTTCAACTACTATGACTACATCTACCAAGCCTATCAAAGAATTAAATAATATTCAAGAAGACGGAGAAAGGAATTCAGAACAAGTTTATTTAGCTCCGGAAGAGAAAAGCAGTATAGAACTGTTTTTCGACAGTATGGCACAAACCGTCAAGAGATTACCGCCAAAAGCTCAAGCCGATATTAAATTGAACATTTGTAAAATTGTTACAGAGGCAGAGGTACGCTTTTCTGGACAAAATATAGCACAAAGTACCCAACAATTTATAACGCCGCCAGGCATGATTCCAAAACTGGTATTGATTCCTTGCGATATGATAGACCATCAGAACAATAAAGGTTGACAATTTATAAGTTGTAAATATCATCATCGGGGCAAAAATATTATCGTTGAAAATGTTTATTTCATTTCATACATGTAACATCATAATTTGTTTCCTTGTTCAAATACTTCTTATTAAAAGCACATTGCGCATAAACTGAGTAGGATAATATTTGTATGATTTTTGTAAAAATTTATGATTGCTTTTATCAAGATTATTTTTTCTTGCGTTATTTTTGTTAAACTAGTATAATATGAAAGAAGAAGAAGTAGAAAAATATATAAAATACTTTATATTTTTAATCATATCGTATATTTATATTGTTGTCTTTCTTTTAGTATTTTAACTTCTATTAATTTCTTTTTTAATAATTAAATCTAATGATACGGATACAAAATTATACAAATTATACAATTTAAGAAATGAAAATAATCCTAATTGTACATAATAAGGAATCTGTAAATATTAAAAAATACATTTATCCATTATATATTAAGGAATTTTTAATAAAAAGAGCAAATTAAATTTGTATATATAGAATAATGTTTAGTAGATAACCAATATATAGCGACGAAATTTACACATTATTTATTAAACTAGAAACTTTATTGCCATAAAATTATAAAAAAAAATAACAATATTAAATATATTAATAATATCCTTATATTTATCATGTCAGATAATTATTTGCTATTTCTTTTATTTATTTATATATTTTCGTTACGAAAAATGACTGTATATACTTATACGTGTATATATACGTATATATGGGTATTTCTCGACTGTACCATGAGAAGATTTCCGTTTTATAGGAAATAAGAAAGTGTGTACAGACAATAGGAAAACCGATCGTGTGTCCCACTTTGGATCCTTGCGAGAAAAGCTTGGATTACACATCGTGGGTCGAAGTAGTTCTTAATGGAAGCTCGACCTCCAGCATAGGTATCGCATAGTTCGTGCAGACCTAATTGGATAGAAATGTAACGAAACCGTTTTGCGTTCTTTGTGGGATACAGGACTAATTTGATTACTTTCGTGTCAGCTATTCACACCCACTTGTCATTCTTTTATGCATTAACTGCCATTCTTAATAAATCTATTGGCAAAATTGATCATTTTCTTCATATCTGTATTATTAATAACAATTAATAACAATTTTAGCGGTAGATTGCTATTCTTTTATATATGTATATATGTATAGCCTTGGGATCAAGTATACATGTTTTTTATCAGCACGAAAGTTTAAAAGTAAAAGGCCACTATTATCGATAAAAATACATTCTCAATGTTAGTTTTTACATAGGTGATAGTATCATTCACAAATGACCATGTTTTATTTAAACTGTTGTATTGCTTAAAAGAACTATTTTAGTTAGGTCATTTTTTAGTTGGAATATTTTTGTACTTCCTGTTTTTTCTTTTAAATACATACTTTTTTAAATACAGAAATAATAGATTAATAATCAAGATATGTTGATTATTTATCAATAACAAGAAATGCTTAATTTTATTCGCATTATTTCTCTCGTAAAGACAATCTTTTACTTGCTATCATATTTATCATCGTATTAATCACTTAAAGTAATTATATTAAAATGTTTAGTTATTGCATTGATCGATGTTATTTATACATTAGATCCGATGTATATACATACACTTATAAGTAGTCAAAGCTGTCTTCTATGTCGGGTTATCGATTGCGATAGACTACAGCCAG